GATGTCGGCTAGCCTCTTCGCAGCTCGCCAACTTGACCGTAAGAGGTTGCCTTTATCGGTGAAAGTGCCTGGCTGTGTTACTCGTCCTGGTCCTCCCAACAAGAAGTGGTTAGAAGTGAGAGCTTCGGGATCCTCTGGACTGACTGAGACGTGAGTCAGCGGGCGGCTGTTGACGGTGTATTCTACTTCTAACAGTAGTGTCGTGAGGACTTCTTCTGTCGGATGACGTTCGTGTAACGTCGCGATGAGAGCGGTCTTGACGGAGCGAACCATTCGCTCCCAGGCTTCTCCCATAAATGGAGCTCCAGGCGGGATGTAGCGCCATGAGATAGTCCTTTTTGCTGCTTCTTCTGCGGTCGCTGCGTCGACCGCCTGTCGTAGTTCCTTATCGGCTGCCTTCAGGTTGGTGCCATTGTCTGACCATATTTCTGTCGGGCAGCCTCGCCGCGCGATCATTCGCCTTATGGCCATTACCGCGGAGTCAGCGCGAAGTGAGTCGGCGACTTCCAGATGTATGGCTCGCGTAATGAGACATGTAAAAATGGCCAAATATCTCTTTTGTCGAGTTCGTCCGACGGTCACCGAAAGAGGTCTGAAATAGTCCACCCCGGTGTAGGTGAAAGCGCGCTTGTGGTGAGCTAAGCGATATGTTGGCAGGTTCCCGGTTCTCTGATGCGGCGGTACTTGCGTCTTCATTCTGCAGAATAGGCATCTTCGTAGTATTGTGCGCACGATAGGGCGCAATCTCAGTACCCAATACTGCTGCCGGCAATCGTTGACTGTGGCCTCTACACCGGCGTGATAGAGTTGTCGATGTATAGCCTGCACCCAGAGCTTGACTGTATGATGATCACCGTCAATTATCAGCGGGTTCTTGAATTCTTCCTTCATGTCGCAGACCGCTCGAATACGGCTTCTAAGTCGTAGTGTGCCGTTTATTGACTCGACGCTGAGCTGGCGAAGGCGGCTCTCTTTGTTGATCGGCTTCCCGCTATTTAGGCTGTCTATTTCTTTCGCAAAGGATTCTTCTTAGGAGGATCGCATCAGGAGTTCTTCAGCTATTTTAAGCAGCTCGGCTGAGAACATTAGCGGCTTTATGCCTTCTGGCGACCGCTTCTTTGTCGTCGTGTGTGCCTGATATTTTACTGTAGCTTTGTTCTTTTTCCAAGTGGGATCAGCCTCTTTATTCTTCTTTGTTCTTTTGTAGTTAACTCTCTGTTTGGTGGTTCTGCAGAGTTGAATGAACTGTAGAACACGTGCGGTTGGGTATCTGGAGGTCTTCTAGATTCTCGTCTGGATCCTCTGCGATGTGTGACACGAAATCGATGTTCTGTCCGAAGCTTCGTGTCTGGCTTCCGTGGAGTACCCAACCTAGTGGCGTAAGAGATGCCACTGGGTGGTTCTTGTCTCCTCTTCTTACTTCCGATGTCAGCAGAAGATGCCAGTTATCTTGACCGATCAGCACTCGTGGCTTTGCGTTCGCATATGTGAGATGTCCTTGGATATCAGAGAGGTGTTGACACTCTTCCACTAGTTCCTGTGGGACCCGTTGAGATGAGACTTGCAGGTTCTTCACTGTGCGTGCTTGTATTTGTTCTTCGTGATCGTTGAGCCCCTTTAGTTTGATGGTGACACTCCTTGATGCTGACTCCGATACTTTCTTGTCGTTGATGGTTTCTATCTTTAGTGGGTCTATGGGGCCCGTTGCTCCGACGCTTGTTACTGTGCTATCGTCGACGAGCGTGACTGTTGAGCCGTCGTCCATCAACGCGAAGGTGTTGACAGCTCCTTTTGGTCATTTGACCTTTGATCGGTAGTATTTTTAAATACGATTGCTTCTTGACGGTCCAAGTTGAGTTGATGACCTTTGTTGCCCCTTGATTTTCTTTTGCTTCTGGATCGTCTGACTTCTTTTCGTAGTGCAGCATTTTGTGGTGGGAGTACTTGCAGCTGTTGACATTACATGACTTGGGTCGGCAGTGGTGTGTCTTGTTCCTATAGCGAAGACACCTGAAGCAGAGGCGCTTGGACTTGGCCATGTCCCATCTTGTATATGCATCTAACTTCTTGAATTGTTCACATTCTGTGGCGTTGGTGTACCCCGTATCTTCACATACGACGCACCTTGGTATGTATGTCTTCTCAGTGACGTTGTTGATCCTTTGAGTCTTCCTTTGTGGTGCGGCTGAAAGAGGCGGTGTCATCTGTTCGGGCAGTGCATAGGATCTACACAATTCTGCTTCCCTTTTGAAGAACTTCTCTATCTTGATGAGGCAAGGGTCTTCACGATGCTGCATGGCTGAGAAGTCGTAGTATCTATAACGCAGAGTTGGTGTCAGTTTGTCCACTATTGTCTTCGCGAGTTCAGGATTGTACATGTAGTTAAAACAACCCAAAGTCTTCAGTGTCGCCACTACGTTGGAGACCTTGGTGGCGAATATGCATATGTCTCTTGGTGACTCAGTAAGGCGCGGCAGACCTCTAAGCATCTCCATATCCAGCATGGCTATTGACTCTGGTCTTCCAAATCTTGACTCCAAAGTCTTCATTACTTCAGCCGGGTGTGCGTTGGTCATAAGTAGGCCTTCAACTGCTTCCTTGGCCTTCCCTTTCAAGTTTCTTCTGAGTCGATTCGTATTTTCATCTGCGCTGAATGTCGCTTCTGTCTCGTAATAGGCGGCGCGAAAGGGTAGCCATTCCTGATGAGACTCACTGAAGAATGATAACTCGACGAAATTAGGTCGTTGGGCGGCGCTGACAGCCTGAGTGATGGCGGCTTCAGCCAGGAGGGTACGTCAGTTTGACCTCCCGCCGGTGATTGATGTGTTTCTTTCTTTAACGCGGATCTCGAGTAGAGGGAGGCGTCATCTTCTTCTTCCTCCTCTTCTGAGTCTTCCCTTTCCAAGGCAGCAAGGCGTGCTGCGGCTAATTCCACTTGAAGGCGTAACAAATCTTCTTTCGCCTTTGCAAGCTTGAGCTGCTTCATTCTACTGCGTGTAGATCCCCCTCCTCCTCCCTTCTTGCTGGGCGGGTGGGGTTCCTGTAGTCCGGTTTGCTTCGATGGACCAGTTGTGCATCTTATGGCTCGCTTCACTGTAGCAGTTTCTGTTTCTCGGCGAGTTGCTCTGGTGACAGTAGCGGGCGGCTTAATCAGCTGTTTGGCCTTCACACCCGCAGTTAGCGTCGTCGCCGTGGATGGTGTTACGGAAGGAGCGACGGCGCTGGCGGGGTGCGTGGCGGGGGCGGCGGTTGCGGTTGAGGCTGAGGTGGCGGCGGACGAAGTGGTTGCTGCGGTGGCGGAAGTCACGGTGGATGGATCAGTTGCCGCGGAGGTGTCTGTATACTTCCAAGTTTCCGTGGCGGTCGTCCCTGTAGCTGTCGATTCCGCACTGGCTTCCGCACTGGTGGTACCTGTCGCCGAGGTGGTAGCCTCGGACGACGACGGCTTGCTGCCCTTTCCCTCAGAGCGCGTAACGACCATGCTGTCAGCTGACTTTTTTCTTCGAAAAACTTGAGTCTTGAAAACGATTTCCGAGAGGTCTTCTTTACTCGTTGTAGCACTATTTGAAGTCTTCAGGTAATTATTCCCTACAATATCCTGTTTTAAGGACCATTATGTGTACAGGCACAATTGTGTGCTGAGTTGGTGGAGAATAAAACCGCTGAGATAGTTTCTTTCTTCTATATTCGATGTTGGAAATGTTGAGGTCGTATGTGGGAAATGTGGAGAGGCGGGACATGAACGTGGTGCCTGAAAGTCCACGGAGGAGAAGTGCGCTACGTGCAAGCGATTTAGTAGAATTGACTCTGGCTCGCACGTGACCATGGCGAGGAACTGCCCAGCAAGGCTGTATGCAGAGCAACGCTCCGTGGCCACCACTCAGTACTGCCGATAAGGGCAGCCCCATAGTTAACCAGGAAGACAAGGCACTACGATTAGGACAAATCAACCTGGGTCGAGAGGAGCTCGCCGCGGCTGAGCTGCCCATCCTGGCGCGTGAACTGCACCTGGACATTGTTCTTGTACAAGAACAGTACTCCCAGGTTGCGGGGATCGTTCAGGTGGGCTATCACCCGTGGGCGGGCATCTATCTTGCCGACCCAGCAATTGGGGTAGCAGTGCTGAGTCACCTCAGCAACGAATTTTGTGTGGTGTGCCATGTTGACCGATGGGACCTCTATGTGGTGTCAGCGTACTTTAAATTTAGCGACACTATTGGTAACCACCTGCACCACTTAGAGGTCGCCCTGAGTTGCCTTAAGGGCAGAAGGGTGATCATGAGCCTCGACGCCAATGCGCACTCGCCACTCTGGTATTGTGATCGCCGACACTACGTGGGAAGAGGACAAAATGTACAATATCGAAGGCAGCAAATGGAGGCGTTTATTATCACTCATGCTTTAACGTTGGCAAATATGCCTGACCAGCCCTACACTTTCTCTGGGCCTAGAGGTGAGTACAACGTGGACCTGACCCTCTCCACTGGGGATGTCTACCTTGCCGAGTGGCGAGTGCACGAGGGGGTATGCGCCAGCGACCATAATTTAATAACTTACACGGCCACTACCAGCAGGCCGACGACGCGCGCAGCGTCCGTTAGGGATCCTCCCCGTTTTCGTGACCGAGGGGTGGATTGGGAAAGGTTCCGGGCGATTGTCAAATTACGAATGGGATGGCTGCACGTAGAAAAACCCGCGGCTCTCCTGGCGAAGGAGTTCTCAGGGGTCGTAATTCGCTCTGCGGAGGAAGGCCTAGGGGAGCGTCGCCCCAGGGGGTCGGGGGGGGGGGGGTATGAATGGTGGACATTTGAACTAGATAAAACTCGGAAGTTGCAATGCAAACTTAGGCGTGCTTGGCAGAATAAAAGGCGTCTGGGAGGTAGGTCTGAGGAGTTAGCCAGGATGGCTTTCCATAGTGTGCGTGCGAGATATAGGAAGATGATGGTGGAGGCGCAGCAGTCACAGCACAGGAAGATTGCCAACTCTGGCAATGAGGACCCATGGGGCTTTGCATACAGGCTCTCCAGCGGCAGGGTACGTCCGCCTGCAAATGTGATCAATGGGATCGCTTTGCGGGTGTACACCCGGACGGTCTGGAAGCAGCGATGCATAAATTAATGTCTGCGCTCTGTCCGGATGACAGCACTGACTGCGACTCACCTTATCACCGGCAGGTTCGTCTGCTGGCGGCTTTCATGCCGTCGGGTGGAGCTGCGCCTCCACTTAAGGTTGAGGAACTGGGTGGTATAGTTAAGGGCTTGCCCAACACGGCTCCGGGACTCGATGGAGTGAGTGCGAGAATCGTGAGGAATGTGTGGATTGCGGCACCGAGGGAATTTCACTCGGTGTATGCCAAGTGTGTGGAAGAGGGGGTTTTCCCCAATGTATGGAAGGACGGAAGACTGATTGTCATTCCCAAGGGTAATGACAAGCCGCTCACCGACGTCAAGGCATACCGTCCAATAACGCTCCTCCCTGTTTTAAGAAAATTATTGGAACGAGTAATTTTAAGATGTGCTCCCGCGATTAGCCGCGGGATATCCGAGTACCAGCACGGATTTTCTCCGGGGCGGTCTACAGTAACAGCGCTGCGTGTACTGCTCAGCACGGCAAGGTATTCTCAGGCATGCTACGTGCAAGCAATATTCTTAGATATCTCCGGCGCCTTCGACAATGCCTGGTGGCCGATGATGATGGTCAAGGCCAAAAGGGGTGGATGTCCACCCAACATTTATAGAATGTTGGTGGACTACTTCACCACCAGGCGTGTGGGCCTCTACATCGGAGACCGGGTAGAGTGGAAGACGTCGAGCATGGGATGTCCTCAAGGCTCCTTGCTGGGCCCAACACTGTGGAATGTGCTGATGGACGACCTGCTCCGACTCCCTCTGCCCGAGGGAGTAGCCATGACTGCCTATGCCGATGATCTTACAATCTTGATTGAATCGGGTACGAGAGCGGGTATCGAATCCAGGGCCAGAGTCACTCTGGACCTTGTACGGGAGTGGGGGCTAAGGAATCGACTGGAGTTTTCCTCCTCAAAGTCGACCACCATGACTGTTAGAGGGAAACTTCAGCGCCCCCCCGTTATTAAACTTGGTGGGGAGTCTATTAAGACTGTGACTAACGTTAAGGTATTAGGCGTGGTTTTAGACTCGGGACTATCGTTTGTGCAACATGCATCCGATATCTCTGAAAGAGCGACCAAGGGATTCGGCCAGATGTCTCGCGTATCTACATCATCATGGGGTGTACGATATCCGAGTTTAAAATTAATAGGAGGAGTTTTTGTGTCCACGCTTACGTATGCGGCAGAGTGCTGGTACGAGCGTGCAAACATGTACACAGTTCGTAGCGTAATACTGAGATCGCAGCGATCCGCTCTTGTATAGTTAACCAAGGCGTACCGATCCACTAGCACGGCGGCCTTACTGGTGCTGGCTGGCGTTCTCCCTGCTGACCTAGAGGTCATCCGTGCTGGTAGGATGGGTATAGCACGTTTGACCGCGCCCAAAGAGGAGTTGAGCAGACGGAATCGCGATATCTGGACTGAGGTGATAGGCGCCTGGCAGGATAGATGGACGTGTGATACAAAAGGACGTGAGCTACATCGATTTTTTCCGGACGTGCCGTTGAGACTCAGTTATACCTGGGTCTCACCGGACTACCAAACCTCTCAGATTCTCACCGGACATGGATGCTTTCGGAAGAGACTGAGCGACATGAAACTGTGTGAAATTAGTATGTGTGAGTGCGGTATGTCGGAGGAGGATGTTCACCATGTTCTATGGGAATGTCCTCTGTATGATGACCTAAGAGTGAAAATGATGGATGGACTAGTTCGTCCGGTTCAGGGACCAGTTTACTACTCGGATCTCGTCAGCGATGTGGTAAACTACGGACTGTTGCGCGAGTTTGCGCATAGGTGGCACGATCGCAGGACAAGGCAGGATGGAAGGCTGGTAGGAGCGCCCGACGACGTAGGCGTCAATGTGTCGTCAGCCCCAGAAGGGGGAGAATGACGTTAAACTGGGACATGGAATAGATTAAATATTTGTAGGGAGTCAAGAAAGTGTGCGCGGGAAAGAGCCACGTGCAAGTACCGCGCGCATCTCCCGAGATTCGGCCCGTATGACCTGAGGGTCGGTGGGGCCATGGGAGGTGGAGGGTTGACCACCTTGCTGAGTCACATTACATTGTTTACATTAAAGCTAGTTCTGCTATACAAAGTGACCACCTTACTGAGTCATTGTTTACATTAAAACTAATTCTATTATACAGATATAAACACTAAACTATTATTTCCTTATCATAACATAAAATGCTTATATTCTACGTTATGTGTAACTCTATAATATTTATTCAATTTATTATAATATAAACGCTTATATCCTAATAATAAAAAATAAAATAAACTCTAAACTATAATATTTATTCCATTAATATAACATAAAATGTTTGTCTTATTTATGTTTTATCTTATCACTATTTGTTTTCACTTGTCCCGCACACAAAGAGAATTAATTAATTTCTAAACAAGAATCACATGATTAGCTCTTTCCTTAAAAACGAACAACTTGATCCTATTACATTTTTAATTCAACAAGTAATTGTATCAGTTCTTAAAATAAGAATTTTAAATATATAGGACATACATTATTCCATATTTCCGTATAAAGATTATCTAATATCCTCCTACGTCCCGTGGGTGTCGTAAAAGGCAACTACGGGAGATGCGTCTATAGTAGCTGATTGCTGGTTTCTGATGATTTTAATGCTGTTTTCTCATGATTTTAATGCTGCACACACAAACACTACAGAATCACCTAGGTGTGTGACTGGCGGGCGATATTTCGGTCGTCGGAATTAAGCGAAACGGGAGGTTCGATTTGAACGTTACGGGGCCTCTGGAGGCTATCCGTAACGTTCGGAGACGGAGCGTAGGTTGCAGCAATTACCACTGTGTTGGAATATGTCTCGGCCCTATCGAAATAACGCTACGACATTTCCTTGGAACATTTAGAGATCGTCGGAAGTTGACAATCTCTGTGTAAGTAACGGTGGTAGAGCCACGCAGCAGATTTTGCTATTGCACGTAAGGGCCGGCTCGAGCCGGGTTAGTACCACGACCTCACAGAATACTGGCGTGAAGTGGAAGCTCTGCTTCTGCGTTTCGTCTGGTGAGTACAGGTGACCGCAGGCCCAAGTCCCCCCCCCCCCATAAACATGGTAGCGGAATTACATCATAAACTACGCCAGGAGGGTACCAGTACCCCTGGAGAATCCCTCGCTGAGCATCCACGACCATGCTATTCCACTCCTGAGCGTGGGTGCTCAGGCTAGCCCCGCGTATTCTGGGGGGGGGGGGGCAAAATTCCGCTCAACACAATAACTGCTCGGGGCAAACTGAGCAACAAGACCAAGGCGACCCCTGCCACGCTATTCGTGAATTTCTGCAACATCAGGGGACTTCACTCGAACCTAAACGCCGTCCACTACCACCTCGAGGCGGCGAAACCGGCCTTGCTCTTTCTGACCGAGACGCAGGTGTCCTCTCCGGCTGATACTTCGTATCACTCCTACCCGGGGTTACAAATTGGAGCACTCCTTTGTTCCTCGGGCTGGAGTTTGCGTATACGTCAGAGAGGACATCTATTCTCGACGCCTCGGTAGTCTTGAAGGTTCGGACCTGTCCATCCTTTGGCTACGCGTAGACAGCGACGACCATCCGCGCGTCTACGTGTGCCTCTATAGGTCCCATAGCGGTAATGCCGAAACAGACCGACTCATCGACCACGTCCAACTGGCTACAGATTCCTTGCTACAACAGGTCCCATCCGCAGAGATCGTGTTCCTTGGCGATTTTAACGCACACCACGCCGAATGGCTCGGTTCACGTTTAACTGATCATGCGGGGAGATCTGTTTATGATTTTGCCTTGGCATATGGTCTGACACAACTGGTTACATCGCCTACGCGGATTCCAGATGTTGAGGATCATACACCTTCCCTGTTGGACCTTCTGCTGACCTCTCATCCGGACGGATAACAGGTTTCCGTCGATGCCCCTCTTGGCTCTTCGGACCATTGTCTGATCCGGAGTGTGGTGCCACTCACGCTCCCCTCGCGGTTGCGTTCTGCAGGTTGCCGCCGTGTTTGGCATTACAGGTCGGCAGATTGGGACGGAATGCGGTCTTTCTTTGCTTCCTACCCATGGGGGCGGGTTTCCTTCTCGCTGGATGATCCCAGCGCTGTTGCTGACTCTGTCACTGATGTGGTGCTACAGGGAATGGAACTATTTATTCCATTATCTGTGGTACCCATCGGAGGCAGATCTCAGCCTTGGTTTGGTCGCTCCTGTAAGACTGCATTACGCAGTAAGCAGGAGTGTTATCAAGCCTGGGCTACGGTTTCGGCGACTCGGGATGTAAACACCAGCATACTTAAAAAGAAATATAACTTCGCCTCCAGGTCCTTCAAAAGAGTTATTGCCAAGGCAAAGACAGAACACATAGGCAGAATTGGCGAGAAACTAGTTCGCCTTCCTTCGGGAACCCGTGCATTCTGGTCTCTCGCCAAGGCTGTCCAAGGGCATTTCTGTAAGCCATCACTACCACCTCTGCACAGGGAGGACGGCTCACTGGCCCACGACGCAAAACAGAAAGCCGACCTTTTAGGCTCCCTTTTTGCGTCCAACTCGACTGTTGATGACGAGGGGAACACAACGCCGACCATCCCGCGGTGTGAGTGCTCCATGCCGGATTTGCGGTTCTCACAGCGCTCGGTTCGCAGAGCACTCCTCTCCCTTGACATCCACAAGTCGAGTGGGCCTGACGGAATCCCCCCAATTGTGCTGAGGACGTGTGCTCCGGAGTTGGCACCGGTTCTACCGCATCTTTTCCGGTACTCCTACTCCCTAGGCGTAGTCCCGAAATCATGGAAGACAGCTTTTGTCCACCCGATCCCTAAAAAAGGCAACCGCTCAGACCCGTCCAACTACAGGCCTATCGCCATCACCCCCTTGTTCTCCAAAATAATGGAATCCGTTATAAACTGCCACCTCATGCGGTACCTTGAGGATCACCAGCTGATTAGTGACCGCCAGTACGGTTTTCGTCAGGGTCGATCAGCTGGTGATCTTCTGGTTTACTTAACTCATAGATGAGCGGGGGCAGTAGAGTCCAAGGGGGAGGCGTTGGCCGTTAGTCTGGACATTGCGAAGGCCTTCGATCGGGTTTGGCACAAAGCGCTTCTTTCGAAGCTCCCTTCCTATGGGCTTCCCGAGAAATTATGCAATTGGATCACCAGCTTGCCAGCTCAACGCCTGCAACTTTACAAGGCGCAGGTTCGGCCTCACATGGAATACTGTTTCCATCTCTGGGCTGGGGCTCCCCAGTGCCAGCTCCTTCCACTTAACCGCATCCAGCGCAGACCGGCTCGAATCTTCGACGACCGAGTCCTTTCCGATCGGCTCGACTCATTGGCACTGCGAAGAGATGTTGCATCTGAGGAATTGTTCGGATTAATCCCAGCTGCCAAATTTTACGAACGCACATCGCGGCAAAACTCCCGATACCATCCACACCATCTGGATGATTGGCGGTCCACCACTGTGTGATTTAGAAGAAGTTTTCTCCCTCGCACAACTTCCTTGTGGAATCGATTACCACCAGCGATTTTTCCGGATCGATACGACTTAGGGACCTTCAAGAAAAGAGCCTACTCCTTTATAAAAGGCCGGCAACGCATCTGCGATTCCCCTGGTGTTACAGTTGTTCATGGGCGGCGGTAGTCACTTACCATCAGGTGAGCCGCATGCTCGTTTGCCCCCTCTTCTATAAAAAAAAGTCGGAGTATCGCTGATACCACCGAGCTCCGGTGGCTTTACGAATGAATCTGTACACGCCCCTAGCTTCCCCAATCAAGGATGACGGGATTAGGGCCCATGAGTAATCCCATCGACGAGCAGCAGAGGGACTGGGCCAGAATATGGAATTTCCTAATTACAATAAACAATATGGGAGGAAGCTAGAAACACATAGTACTTACCATTATCCGGAGCTAACTTCGCACCAAGGCTTGGGCAGGCCGTGAGTGTGTAATAGTGGATGGCCAGTAGTGTACAGTGAGGTGTGCCTGTGTGGGGCCTTGACAAGCATAGGCGACCAGCCGCGGCCTAGTTCCAGGCTGCTCTAAAATGCTGCACTGCTTCAGAATGCTTCGGCGCCGGACCACTTTTTCGTTCGTCACGATAACAGTCCATTAACTCTATCGTACGATTTACTAACTTACAGAAGCCACTAACTCTCGTTTGTTATAAGGTTAACGCACAAAACGAACACGGAGTGTCCGGATCAAAGATCACTACCGTTTCGCGTAGCAACAGTTATTT